TAGAAAGGACTTGTTTAACTTCCTGCCCACAGTACAAGTTTGGCGGGAGGGATATTTGTACTCGTTTCACAATCATTTCAGCTCTACTCAAGAGTGGAGTTGGATAATACAAAGCTGTATGGATCAATCTACGGAAAGGTTTTCATATCATGTGTCAGATAACGGTTGAAAGTAAATTTGATGAATGAACCCTTTTCATTTTGGTTTAATTGGAAAACGTTTTACCCGTTTTGCCCTATAATCATTTGCCGCTAAACGTTTTGCATTTGTTAAAGAAAGCAGAAAAATGTTCGGTTTTGCTCAGTATTAAATTTAAAGTTGGCAACTCTGGTAAACAGCTCACTTCGTCTTTCTCGGTCTTGTTTCACAGTACTCGCCAAACTGTCTTAAGAAAGTAGATGAAATACAAACATTTTGAAGCCTTTAACGTCGCTAATTAGACAGGGCAAGCCAATAACAACACGTGAAAAGATTTCGAACCATTCTTCTCTTCGTTAAAACTGTAAGCATCCTCTTGTTGAGTGTAATTTGTTTCTTAAACCGCAGATGACAAATTCCCAGTCTCAACGAGTGAAGAACCAGAGCTAAAGAGGAACACAGGCCCAGGAGGTAGTCCATTGTGGCAACACATGATTGAGTCACTAACACAATGGCCGACCATTTTCTTCAATAATGTGAGTTTGTCTTTCTCTTTGACAAAAGAAAATTCAACAAAGCGCTGATTTGGTCGTTGAGTAAGGAACAATGGGCCCATGGGCCTCACTTAGATAAACACGTGGAAACTTTAATTGTCACTTGTTTTCTGCATAATCGCTTTAACATTACAGACGCGTCAATTGGTTTTGTGGCACGCTTCTGGGCTGATAGAAATGGACTCTTTTTCTGTGTCCTTGACCGCTGCATGCCTAGCACGCTTTTCATGGAACAGAATATATTGCTCTACATCAGCTGCGAGAGCAAACCAGATATTAGTTCCCTCGTTAATCCTCAAATTTGCACGCTAATACCTCAGTTGACCTTTTACAACAGGGAACAATTTACTCCTTCGTGCAATGCATGGCGCAAATTAAATTTGAATTTAGCCGGACAATGAGTTGGCACTTTTAACTTCTGGTGGGCCGGGAGGTTCTGTCGACTGTCTTTGATCACAGCTTAAACCTCCATTTACGACAAAGACGACAAAATTATTCTTTAATTAATGTCACTCAAGCGTAGCCAAGAATCCTGATACTGGATTGTCCTCAAAGTTAAGTGAGTGACAATGAGTATCGAATCTTCTAGCTTCTTTTATCATGAATATTGGATGTTAATAACGCAATCGAGACCTGTAGTTTCTTATAAGCACTGTTTCTTTTTATGTTTTGTTTTTCGTATAACTTCATCTCGCCTTCACTCTTAATGTTTATCAAGTTGACAAAATGATATAAATTCAATTAAAAAGTCGTTTGTAGTATTTTTAGCAGTTGGTTTATTTCATTGTTTTGCCGTATTAAAGTTGACTTTACTTTAGGGGTAATATGTTCGGACGAAATTGTTCAATGTTTCTTAAAGTTGCTGGCACCTGACACCGTAGTTATGGCCCGAGGCAATCGTAACCTCTCCGTTAATGTATCTTGATATTTACAGTCACCTATATTGCACCTTCAATGACTTTAAAGATTTCACGTCTCGATTAAAAATTCTAGACGCAACTTTAATTTATTTTAGTTTGAATTTTGCGTGTAAAATACTCTATGGATTTAAAGTGAAAGTTGGCCTGCCGAACGACGGATTATTTTTTTTCAGTGCGTCTAGGCGAAACTCCATAGTTTAAATAATAATACATAGTTCGTTATCATATTTCAATCGGAAAATAATAAATACCATTTTGAACTAAAATGATGATGAATAATCTATTTTTTTTTAATCTAATGTTGCCTATGATTTACATTTTTGTTCTCGTTAGGCTCAAATTTAGGCATAATATTCAGGTTTCCGTCTTCTTTGTGCGTGGAATGTTAGTTAATACACACGCAGATATAGCAATTTTGTCTTAAAATTCGTATCGTACCGGATCATCAGTTTAGTTAAGTTGCCAGATGTTGTAATGTATTTTTCTAGCCTTATGTTTGTTATAAACGCCTACGGTAACTACATCTTGATACAATCGATGTTTTTAATTCCAGTTTAACAATGCCCGGCCTTAGAACTCGGATCATTTCGTCAATTCTGCGGTAAAAGATGGTTCGCGAAAGCATTGTTACTCCGTGCAACTCTGCGCAAAACAACATGAGCACAGACAATTGTAAGCTCTATTAGATTACGGACCAGTCTTGGTAATTGCCAACAGTTTGGCTATTTTTCTCGTGGGAAATCCTCTTATGCTTAAGCGGAAACTGCCCAGCGCATTAAAGCAACAATCAGAATTAAAACGCGGGCTTCAGTAAAGTTGATTTAAGACAAAGCGCGCCCAATATTCACTACACCCCCGCAGCTGATGAAGGCTTTCAAAAAAGAAGAAATTTTACACACACCAAATGAGTCAGGTATTCAAACGTGTTAAGAAGGAGGAAAGGAGATATTGACAGGGGTAATTATGGCACGTTTGGTTTAACAAGTCTCCAATTCGCCTTGATGAAATAGTGATTAGTTGCTAAGAACAGACAAATCTACTTTGCACTCTGTACTAGCTCCTACAACGATGGAAATACACGCCTTGTGATTACTTATGCAACTGGAAATTTCACTTCGAAGCGGCTTTTTTGGAACTCATTAAATTTATCATTTTGAACAGAATATTACCAATTAAAGTTGCTCTTTAAAAGCCACGCTTTGAGGAAACAAACTTGAGTGTGTGAACAAGGCCGCAAAGCATTGTGTCAATGACGGAGTTACCATGGCGACAAACAAAAGCTTGTCATTGTGAAAGTGATCGATTTGCCGCGAAGAATTGAGTGATTGTTTGGCTTTCTTCTAAACTGCGAACTTCAAGCCTCCAATACTACAGTTTCGTTTTTATTAGTACTTTACAAAATTCATGTCATTTGCCCATGTACTCTGTCGAAAGATGAAAGTTAACAGCCAGATTAGACGGCTTAACGACTTTCTAAAAATCCTTTATACCCGTTTTTAATCTCTTAAACTCCTCTTGCACCCCCTGCCAGCAACGAGGTTATTACCCAAGAATTATCTCGTGTGAAAATTTGGACCGAACTGTTGCCTGGTTTCGCGTTCTAACAAAGTTTGTTTTCAATCCAGTTCCAATTTGTGACGTTTGGCCTCTTCAAATATAATAAAACTCCCTTTGTGTTAGATCAGTGAGCTCTTGTAGGGAAGTATGACAATCTCATATACTGTCTCGTCGAAGATTTTTTACAACGTATTCACCAGTATCACAACTTAGAATTTATCTTCCCTTATGTTATTTTGTACCGCAGACTGAATCAAAGCAATTGTATCATTTCTGTGCTGTTCAAATGTTTGCAATTAGCAGTTTACAGCAGTGTGTCATCAGTAATCGAGAATATTTTTCATGGATTTTCTCCATACACACCGATTTTGCAACCTCATTGTTAAATGGCACATGAAATTAACACACCAAAACATAAAAATAAATTAAGGAAGATTTTCAGTAGACGCATAACTTCTCATTCTATATTACGACGTGATACTTTAACTTTCTGCATAATTTCACCTTTAAATCTCTTATTATAAGTTCATTATACGAGGCACACTACCATAACAAGGAATTAGCTAGGCTCAAATCCGCTCAATTTTTTAATCTATAATTACACACATGTAGCCTTCACCCAACACACGAAAGTACAGATCATCCAAGTTAGCTTTTTGTATTCATTTGCACTTCTTCCTTTGTTATTTCAGCACCTTCAAATTCCCTATTTTATGTAGGGCGTGTATGTTTCCTAAGACTTAATTTAATTAACTACAATAATTTTTTTTTCAGCGATCACCTTGTTTAGGTAATTTTTGCCTTGAAAAGTTAAAATCATAAAATCTAGCAAAGACCTCAGATCTAGGATTAAAAAGTAAAAGCCTGCGAAGTTTCAGTGTTTGTCACGTTTCGTCGCGCTAATGATAATTTGGAATTGATCACGGTAACATTCAAAATGAATAAATTTAACAGTGTTTTTCTAATGGCTTTAACAGCAGTTCAATTTTCTTTTTTATCCCACGCGTTAGTTAATGGTCCTCGACAATTTTCTGTCGGCGATTAGGCCAAAAACTCGAAAAGAGAAACCTAAATATCCTGTGAATCAAAATAAACCAAGAGTTGCTGCTAATAAAGTTATGTCACTGAATGCCCGGCGCTAAATTCATTTCTAACGGATATAAATTTTTTATTAACCTGTGCATTAAGCCGATTTTATTCCCATTGCGTGGAGGCACAGGCTGTAAATGGCTTTAAAAGGCTAGATCATGCAAAATTAGTCGAAAAATTACAGCTCGATAGAAATTTCATACGATTACTTGCGCTTCCTTAATTTCGTAAGAGATTTATTTTAGTTGACTCTTCCTTTACACCATACAAAAACACAAGCTGTAAACATGCACAGATTATAGGTAAAATATTTCGTTATTTATTTTCGATCGACGATAGAAAAAAGATATGCCATTTCAGTGGCTTTCAAAGCGATTTTTTAGATTAAAAATCGGCCACCACGAAAGAGGTCGCCTTGTTTGGCCCTCGCGCAATTTTTCAAAACAAGTGGTAAAAGCTTAAGTCTAAAACATTTACGATATTGTGTTTTAATGTACATAATTACAGATTGGAACATCCAAGAAATCATATGTGCCCTACTGGAACCATCTTTATGTATTCAACTTTGCCTGCTTTTAACTCATCCTTAAAAATTTAGTGCGACTTCGAAGTAAAAGTATTTTTAGAGCAATAAATTGCGAAACATAACAAAAACTTGTTCTATAGTGGAGAACTTTTATCAGCGAACTCGCTCCCTCATTTTGATCTGGGACCCGGATCAATTTATTCACACATCAATTCATACGTTTGCAAAATCTTTATTTCCTCATTTTTTCCAGCAAAGCTTTGTAAATTTACAGCCCTCGAAGCTGGCAAGCAAATACAAGTATATATTACAGTGGATACTTTGAAAATCTATTATTTGTACAATACAACTTCAGACAATCGCGTACCATTATATATAATATCAGTTTTTACAGGTCTTTTTTTGCATTTGTACACCTTATCATAATTCGTTTAAAGTTAGCTTAAGCTGTTATCTCAAAGTGCTTCCTCTATTCTGGGTTCTTATCTATATATAAAGTTGTAATTTTGAAGGAAATGATACATTGACGCCCGTATACAGAAAGTGTATTGTTCGCATCGTTAGTGCAATGTTGGCCAAAAACCTTTAGTTATATTCTCACACCATTCAACTCAACAGGAAGAAACCGAAAAATATATATATATGTTTAACCTTGTCTTCGTTAATTCTAAAGAGTGATAAACATCTTATTTCTCCTTAGAATATCCAGACAGTGTCAAGCAAAAATGTGATGAGAGCAATAAAAAATCATCAATTTTTGTCTTAATGTTTCACCGAAATCCAAGAACTTAGAATGTATCGAAAACTGTACAGGGGAATAAGGAATAAATTTTGACCCTGGCACTGTCAATTCCTCCGTTCTGGTACATACAAGAGTAGATTTAGTTTCTTAAAAGAGAGCTGTTCCTTCACACAATCCTGGGAGATTTTGATATTGTTCTTTGATTTTTAAGGCGGAGCATCGATTGTTCCAGAAACAAGCGATTGTGTTCGGCAAAACTTGAGCACTTAACTAGTGTCAAATCGAACATGTTGCATACAAAAGTGGGTATTACCTTTGGCTTAGATCTTCTGTTATAATTGTAATTTAAAGAAGCATTGTACAACGAACATAACATAAGATCACACCAAATGGTCGTTTTCTTCTTTCTGAATCTGTCCACTGCTTAACCCGTGGCATTCGCTGACGCTTATTCCAGAGCTTTTTGCTTGCGATGAAGCTTTTTCCTCCGCTTGCTGTCGCTTCCACTTGGTCCTTCGATTCTGAAACCAGACCTTTATTTGTGTCTCGGAGAGATTTAAGAACGAGGCCAGTTGTTTGCGCTCTGTTCCGACGATGTAATGGTTCTTATCAAACGCGTTTTCCAAGTGAAGAAGTTGTGTCGGAGTAAAAGCTGTTCTGATCCTCTTTGGCCTGCGGCAGGCTACAAACCCTGCGAAAAATAAAATAGTTTAGATTCCCCACAAGAAATAGTACAAAAAAATAGTTTTTCCAAGAAACGATTTTAGACCGAAGGCGCTCGCGTTTTCAGATTTCACGCGGCCACATGGGTGCTTACGAAGAGTAAATTGGTGTTTTTCATCGAGAGAAAGTGATGGAAAATTATCATTACCAAAGTTAAACAAATTACAACTCTGCAGGAAAATGTGTTTTTATCTCCATCATGATCCCTGTATATGGCTCATAATTAATCTCACGAGAGTCTTCAACCATTTTCGAAAAATGTTGTGCTCTGAAAATTGTGAGATCATCACTTTGAGCATAATTCTTGTGTAGAAAATACAGCTTTTTTGTTAGTTATTTTGCGAACAACGCTGTCCGAGACAGTGGGTGGCGAGACACTTCAAATTTATAGATTGTGGTGGCTGGCTTACCTAAGGAATTCAGATTAAGTGCTAGAGAAAAGAAGTTTCCATGTAGTTAGGAGAGTATCTTACCGCTATGTAGAGACCCGGCGGTGTAGCTGCAGTTCAGGTCGTGCACATATCGATGACTTGATGCACAGGGGTAGAATGAGAAGGAACCTGAATTGTAGGCGGACAGACTGTGGAGTGGATGCGAGTCGAAGCGTACAGCCATCGGGTAATCTGTTTGAGATTTGTACCCTGAATACGTTTGCTGGGTTGAAGGCTGAAGGGCCGAGTTGGGTCTGTACATGGAGTTAAGAAACGAAGATTGCGAACCTTCGTAAGCGTGCATCTTTGAAATTAAGATTTAACGTTTTCTTTAGCTGTGCGAGGTGCGCTCCACCCGAGTTCAGATGCAAAAAAGAGTGACTTCTCCTTAGAAGCAATCCAATTATATAGCTTACAATTTAATTATTATTACAATACATTGTTCCCATTTTCAATTAATGACTTGGAACTAATTAAAAGTATAAGCAGCGAAAATTTACAAGCTGCCGGATGCCTCATTGTAATGAAAACTGTGAAATTTGAAAATGAGCGTTGAAGTGAAGTTTCCAGCAAAGAATAATAAACAGTGGCCAATTTGTGCCAAAGCAAACAGCTCATAAGGATCAGCAGCCGATATGATCGGCTAATTTACGAATTCGCTTTTTATTGACGTCTTTGCTCTATTAAGCCAATGATAGCTGGAAACAGCTGATGAAAATTTCAAAGTGGGCGAAAATGCTTCTTTGAATGAAATAAAATATAAACGCCACATTGCAGGACCGGATGTGTCCGACGCTGTTTC